ATAATCTAATAATATTGATCCTTACAAGTCTCATGATAAGGGTCTGAATAAAAAGGAGCTTATGGTATAATTAATCAGCTAATTGATATCTTTATGATGTCTAGAGCAGGAAACTAAAAATGAAATGTGAAAGTTATAAAATCACAAAACTAGAAAGCAAGCAAAACAATAGTAAAAGCAGAAATAGGATTAAGCATATACAAACAAGACAACTGAAAAAGCTTGTGTAAGAGCATATCCAAATATGGGCTTAAATGATCTGGAAGCTGAGCATATAAGAAATCACCCACTGAAAGGTTTGAACTCACGCCCACACTCATGGTAAGATAGTACCTCGCCCACAACAACTATTCTCTATTTCAACAGTGTGCAGCAAACATGTAAGGCAAATACAGTTAGAGATGATGAAGAGAAAACAGATTTATTTGGCTTTTGCTTATATATCTGGGTTTACTTATTTATAAATTGAGAATTAAGAAAAAAAAAAAAAGAAAAAAAAAGAAGGTGAATGAAAACAAGATTTTTTGGTTAACAATTGAATGTGACCTAAATTTGATAATTTTTTTTTTTTTTGTCATGAAAGTCTCAATCATAAATGATCTTAGAAATTATTATTATTTATTCCGGGTCCTAAAATTGTTTAATTATTACAAGAAGCTTTTAAAATATATTAATTTTTTTTTAATGCTATGTTCCCTTAGAATATAGGATATCTTGACTCGCCAGAGATTTCTTTTCTTTAATATCTGAATTGTTATGACTTCTTGTGAAAGATAGTGGAGTAGTTTCCCATTGCTTTTTCCACCGTTTTGAATTCAGAGTAAGTCTTTAAAGGCAAATAAGCCAAGTCTATACATGAATCCAAAGAAATTAAATCATTCTATCTTCTCATGATGGGAAAAGAGATAGATTCACGCTTTTCTTGCTAAGAGACTAGGTCAAAATTTGAATTCGGTTAGCCAATTCCACTTGTGTTACCAGTGCATCTTAAAAACAGAATATTGTAGAGAGATTAAAAAAACAAACAAACAAAAAAACAGGAATCTATGCCGGATATTCTACACCACAAAAATTTTGAATTTATAAAAATTTATGTAAACAAGCCCTTAAAGTATTATATAATATTTTTGTGCAGATTTTTTTAAATTAATTTGCGTAAGAGATCAGCTTCATTAATTTTAAACAGGCCATTTTTTTTAAAGATGAGATGAGCATAAAAATGACATTCAGTGACTATTCGAAAATTCTAATGTCATCCAAAGTAGACAACAAACAGATTTAAAAAAAAGAAAAGAAAAAGGCGAGAATACATAAACATTCTTTTGAAAATGTCAAGAGTTTTTATGTCAAAAAGAGAGAGAATATGCTAAAAAAATCTAAAAAGAAAAAAGTAAAATATTTTAATTAATTAAGTCTAACTAACATGTATGACTGGTCACCAGAAACAAATTCAAAAATAAAATATATGATTTCAACTTATCTCCGATATAATTACGATAAGGTAGTTAAATACACAAAAAGCACTTAAAATGGTGAAATTTGAACAACATCATGAAATTGATTTTTCAACTTTTCCAATTAAGAAAAAAAAAAAAAAAGTTATTAATCTCAGTTTTATACCTGACCTTTAAAAGCACAGTACTCTCAAAGTTAGAAAAAAAAGTATTATCAGCAACACAATATTTTTAAATAATTAAAATAGAATCCCATTGCTAATGTTCAAGAGTTTTTAAAGACCTTTTCATTACAATACATTTATGAAATATGGTAGAATTCAACTAAAAAACAAACAAACAAAAAATTGTTGCTTTTTAATTAGCATTAATGAAAAATTGTGACCTTTTCGAAAAAAAAAAAAAAAAAAGCAACAACTGTTTTTTGTATCATTTCGTTAAAATAACAATAGGGGTTTTAAACAAACACTAAACTAAATGACTCAAAAAACTAACAAAAATACTCTTTCCAAAAATAATGAATTTTTCTTGTACCGAAGAATGACGACATTTTTCAAGGCGTTATTTTATAATTTTTTTAATTTCATATTCTTGATAAGCCATTTTTGATGTTTTTCTTTCTTAAATATGGACACACCTTTATTACAATCCGTCGAAACTGTTCTTAAATTTTCATTTCAGATTTTAAGAAACAATATTATTTTAATAAAAGATAGATCTATCGGATATTTCCATATAGACATTTTATCTTTAAAAATTAAGAGCAGAACCTGAATGTGTAAAAAGAAACTAAATACAATAAGACGATTTGATCAGATCCGACATATGATTTTATTTTCTGTGATTATCAAAATAAGTTTTCGACAAACATTGATAATCTTTTTTATGCTTTTTTACTCTTATTTGCAAATTTGGCATTTTTGTATTGTCATGAAGACTGTCCTTTTTTAATCTTTTATGCCTGAGAAATTGGCGTAAAAAGCAAATTCAATAAATGTATTAAATTATTATTAAATTAACGCAACAAATATGAATAAAAAATAAATTTAGTTTTTAAGAGCACAGACAAAAAAGAAAAGAAAAAGCCAATTGGTAGTATTGAGTACAAAAATTAGTCACAACTCTTCTTACTAATTTCACATTTTTAGTCAAACTGATCACAATTAATTACTACGGTTACTTTTTAGTTTTTACAGACTTACTTTTATTTATTGATTATTCACAAATTTAGAACGAATAATTTGGCCAGAGCAAATTTTAGTTCAATAACATTTATTTTCTTCAAATAAAAAAAGTAAAAAAATAAATAAATAAATAAAAAGTTTAAAAATAAAAATCTTCCCTATTTTAAATGACAGTATGAACTTAGGAACTCTCAGGTCGCTAGGAATAAGCTTCAAAAGTTGTTTTTTTTTTTTTAGCTATAAATACGGAAAAAAAAAAAAGGAAAATTTTTAAAAACTAAAGACTAAGAAATCATAGACAAGCATTTAAGTTGTTCAGAAGACAAGCCAAAAAAAAAAAAATCATCTCTGACACGACTTTCAATTTTTTATATTTTTCTTTAGTTGTTTGTGATGAAGTTTTCCTTTTTCCAATGTTTTTTTTTTTTTTAAACGGCAGATTATCTCGAATCTTTGATAAATGATAATCATATGTAAATTATTTACAGTAAATAAATGTCAAGGCAACTAATCCTATTGACATTGACAATCACAGTATTAATTTTACACGTGTATATATCAATAAAACGACAGATTTGTTGGCAAATTACCTTTTATTTTCAATAATTTCGAACTAAAACTTAATTCTATCATTATGAGAGGAAAGGTCAGGAAATGGATCGTGTCAGAATTGTTGACAAAAATTAATCTTGTACTCAGGTTTTCATATTTTTTTATTTTTAAAAAAGCTGAAAACTGTTTTTTTTAAACATCAAGAAAAACTATTTAAAAAGAAAATCGCATATGAAAATGTAATTTTAAAGATGCGGTTTGTTGCATTATTAAAATCGGCTGTGAAACTATATTTGTTTTGTTTCCAGTACGATTTACTATAGTGTGGTCACGTGTTCAAATAATTTTTTAATCAATCTTGTGTGCAATACGATTCTGTTGTCAAGTGATGTTTTTTTTAGAAGATCCTGATATTGTAAGCGATCATTCGTGATGTCTTTTTTTCCCTTCCTACAAACCAGAAAAACTGCTGTCAAAACTTTGAAGTGTGTGTGTGTATAAAATGATTTAAATGTTGGAGGGGGAAGAGACAATTAATAGTTTTATTTTTAGATATATTTTTTTCTAAGAGTTTGTCTCAATCTAAAAATATACAAACGAGATTTTTTTAAAAAATAAAATCATAATGAAAAGAGACAAGATTCTTTACAATATTTTTTTCTGCTCGGGGGCGTGGACAATAATAAGAAATATAAGTTTATAGTTTCAATACTTTCTATAAATACAAGATAACAAAATAAAATATAATTATTATTTCGTACGGAAGTTATCCGTATCCTTATAAAAATTAAAAAGTAGAAACATTAAACCGTAATCAGACACCGAAAACATGAACAAATGGACTTTTTGTCACTCTTTTTGGAAAGATGTGTGAAAACGAAAAGAGAAAATTACTAACACAACTGATCCCCGATTTTATAACCATATATTGAAAAATAAAAAATAAGTGGTTTACTCCAAAGATATTTTTCTGTTTTGGGACTGAAAAGATCTTCTGGTAGATCAATCTGTAATTTATAAAGAGTAAGGTATAAGAAATATATGGATCATTATTTTGAAATCGAACGGAGTTGGGAAAAAAAATCGAGAGGAAGCCAAGCCTGTTCTGTTGGTGTTCAGACGGAAGTAGACTTTTGCCAAAAAGCTTAGCGAAATCAAACCTAAACAGCAGAAATATCCACGATGACAACAATAAATGCATATTAAAAAGTAGTAACCGAGTACAAAATCTATGCAAGCAGAGAAGTGAAATAAATAAGAAATTAAGTTTAAATGACCAGATAAAATGGGTTTTCTATTCCAAGTCTAAAGTAAACTAGGAAAGGAAAAGTAACAATATCTGAAAAAAAAATGAAAATCCCTGTTTGCATACAACAATAACAAAAAGTCGCCTATTTGATCGAGATAGTAGATTAGCCTTTAAAAATGTTATTAAAATATGCGTAATTTAAAAAAAAATGCTAACATGCAAACATTTAAATACACTACCTTCTCACGGTCAGATATTGGTTCGTCAACGTCAGCCATTGCGCCTATGAATTACAGAACACGCCTTTCACAGCAGAGTGATGCACGTCGGGAAAAAGAGAATCGATAGTGGGACAGTAAAAAAAAAAAATCTTTTTTAAAATTACTTCCATTTTAATTTTTTCCGCCTATATAATTTTTTGTGAATATTTTTTTGTAAAAATAAGCAAATTTAAAAAATTCTCCTTCGCATTAAAGGCATAAAATGACATGATAGCATAAATCTCGCGTTCACGAGATTTGAACTGTAACTTAAGTTTAATATTTATTTATGTACGTTGCTATGGCTTCTCCGGTTAGAAAACCCTTGATATGTTCCCTCCAGGCTCCTCTCAAAATTGGTGTCGACAAAAACTGGGCAAATTTTAATTCTGGTTATAAAGTCATTCAGGTAAATTTCCCAAGTTTAATAACACCAGAGGTGAGTTGATTAAATTACTTTTTTTGCATTATTTCAGTATTTTTATCTCTTTAATTTATAGATCTTTCCATGATTGTACAATATTTAATAAACTTAATTAATATTTTTAAAAAAGTTCCAATTTATTGGAATATTTATAGAATGTCTAAATTAACAGGTAAATAAATACTACTGGGGGTTACCCCACTTGGCTTCACCAAACACCCAGTAGGTGACGCTGTTTAAGTTTATAAAAAAACAAACATTTTTTTCTTTTACCTCTTGCTCCAAAATGTAACAAGAGTAGATAAGAATTTCCTCGCTGGGGCGCATTTGGTTCTCTTGATCAACTAACAATTGAACTCTCACACTGATACACACAAGTGTATATCACATGCACAAACAATAGCTAAGTTTTTAATATCTTTTCCTTTCCTTTCAATTGTGTACACATTAATGTAATTTTTTTTTGTCTGTGTGTTAATACATGCATTGTCTGTTTAAATTCTATATTTTTGTTTCTTACTTTTACTACCAAATATTGTTTGCTAGATAAATGTACCAGGAGCCATTAACTGAAAAACGTCCAGACCTCGCAACAAAAGTCGCGAGGCCCATAACACTGCAAATAATTAAATACTTTATTTTGATTGCTATGCTTACATTAAATTGAAATATGTAATGGCAATTCTTAATTGTGTTTAATAAAACACAATTAAGAATAGCCATTTATTACAGTTTTGAATTGGATATGTTGCTCAAATTTTAATTCAAATTGGAAACAGTGATGTGCAGATGTTTGGTGATGCCCGGGGTCAACTTCTTGATTGTGTGCCCCTAAGACTAAATCAAGTGCCGCCTGTAGAAATGTGAGAAAAGAAGACATTTTAAATATGTAAAAACAGATGAAACATGAAATAAAAACTTTATTCAAATTAAATATAAACTAAATTTTTATTTCACTCTTTGATTAGATGCTCTCCTGATATGGTTTGGTTTGTTTTGTTTTATGGCATATCAACAACTCAATGGGTTATTTAATGCTGACAAAACTTTTATTGCTGGTAATATGTTTTTCTTCAAAAATCTATTTCTAGGAATATTTTTCCTCGGAGAAATCTATAGCTGGTCATATTTTTTTCAAAGAATGTATAACTGTTTGTATTGCTTGTATTTTTTTTTTTTTTTTTAAGTATTGCTGATAATAATTTTTCCTTCAAAAATTATTGCTAGTAATAATTTTTTTATTACAAAGTATTTCTGGTATTAAAACCTATTTTACACAAGTTTGGGTGTTAACTATTTGACCATATCTGGGACCCTAACAGGTGCTACCACCCTGCATCAGGGTGGACCTGGGAACACCAGCAATTAAGGGTGGTTTCATGCTCCTCAAAACCTCCTGATCAGATGCCTTGCTGTTGGACATAGTTTATTGTCTTACCCAGGACACGGATGTAGTTTATCATCATACTCAGTATAACCTCCTGATATGGATGTCTGGGGCTGTTGCACTGTCTGCTCCCCCCTGCACACTACTGATTGGAAATTTTATTATATTTTCTAGTTTTAAAATTATTTATGAAACTAATTAAATGAAAAACTAAATAGAAAAAAAGGGGAAGAAATTAGAGGTTCTCCTAATTTTTTCAAAAAGGTTTATTTGAGGCAATGACAAAAATAACAAGACTTTTTCTCAATGTAAACTTTGTAAAGAAACAAATATTTATTAAAATGACATGTTAATTTTAATGCCTCCAAAACAAAATTGCTTTTTTTTTAATTGACCGAGAGAACTTATTTTACCTTCCATCACCACAGCTGATTCTATCCTTTAGGAGAGAGACTTTTTGCACCTTCTTGGGCTAATGTTTTTCACTTGTGTGAAGTAGAAAAATTATATTGAATCAATTGCTACACCTGCTGCTAGGAAAGTCAGTTCATTGTTATGCTGGACAATTTTTCTTGCCATAATCTATCTTACCCATTTATAAGTCTACCATTTGACCATGCATTGCTGCTACATCTGTCCGAGTGCTTCTGCTATTCATTTAGAAATTCTTTATAAAATTCAAAAAAGATTCTGCAATGTTATTAGTACTGAGCTGGTATCTCAGCTTCAGTCACCTTCCCACCACTGTAATGTTGCTTCTCTGTGCATTTTCTATTTAAATAAATATTTTAATTATTATGCATCCCCAAAATTCAGACAAAATATTTTCATGGTAATTTTTCTGATGTGCTTTCCTCTTTGGCACCCAAACTTTATGAATTTAAGTGCAGTACTAGATTGGCTGCTAGGTCTCATCAACTTACAGTTGAAATAGCTAGATATAACCAGAAGTCCTATGCTAGTACCTTCTTCTCCCACACTTCTCATTTGTGGAACTCTCTTTTGGCTTCTTACTTTCCAGTTAAATTTGGTCTTCAAAAATTTAAATGCAATGTCAATTGTTATCTTCTGTCTTTTTAATTCCTGTTCTTTTATTGTTCTCTCTCCTTAATAATGTTTTTTTTCTCTTACACTCAGTAACTCCTTGCATCTTAGTGACCTTATCACCTTGCTTGAGGTGAAATGATTAAAAGAAAAATGACAAAAATATTTCTACAACACTAAATTATAAAACAAATACAAAGTTGCCTTGTGTCTATAGATATTTCTTTCCTGCTCATCTATTAGCCAAGAACCCTCTATTAACATGATATCTTTTTGTTACCAATGCACTGATTGGGTCTCATTTTGTGATTTTCTTTGTGACACCCTTTGGAATTAAATATTTAATCTTTCCATTGAAAATTGTGCCACTGAGATTTCTTTAAGGGTGAAAGCTTTCATACTAGCATGGAAATACCAAGTGAAAGTATAATTCTTCTCTTTGGGTCACATCTGCCTATTCATCCACTATAGTCTACAGGAATCACTTCTTCCAGTTATACCTGTGTTTAGTATAGGGTATTCTGCTTATGCTGCCTGTACCTCTTTCTCTTTCTACTACACACTACAAACATCATCTACAGAATTACTACTGTCCCCTAGCAAGCAATATAGCTGCTTATATAGTATGCAGCAGGTGTTGATACATTTGCATAAGTGTTATATCCATTTTATCAAATCACAGTCAATCCACACGTGCACCTCTAAGCCTCAAACTGGATTTCTTGTTACAGCTGCAGCAACTCAAACACGCTTTGTACTAGGTAAGCCATGATCTGTGTTAAATAAACTCTACCTGGTCTCCTGGTGACAAACGGTGGGTGGTCGTTTGTGCCTTGTGCTTCTCCATAGTGGAACTGAAGAGGTTTGTGCTTCTAATACAAGAGGAACATCTGTTGAGGTGAATCAGACGAGGGAAGTCTCTTCATCTAGATCTGGCAGGTCATCATCATCTGTCATGTCACTGGGCGTTTGAGTGGAACCCGTGAGTTCCACTATAATTCCTTGTTCTGATGACTCACTATCTTCACCTTCTACTGCGCTCTTGCATTCTGAGGACTCACCATCACAGTCCACCCCTTTGACAGGGTGATGGTCCCTAATATGGCATGACATCCCATTGACCAGAACTGAGTGTAGACTGTGGTGTCCAGGCAACACCCCCTTTCCAAATTTAGACATGCAGATGGTGCATGGGGCCTTCACCCACACTACATCTCCAATTGTGTAGGTTGCATTCTTTTTGTCTATGGAGTTGAAATGTCTATCCCTTTTACCCACACTTTGTAGGTGTAAATTCCATTTGCTGGGGTTGTAGAGGTAGATGTATTGTTCATTTGGCATTATATTGTAGAGATACACCACTTCCTCCACAGAACATTGCTTTCTGGCAGCAATGCACTTGATGGTATGATAGCATGTTGCTTCAGTGTCATTCCTCACTGGGAGGTACGCATATTGAAAGTACAGGTTGATGCCCCAGCCTTCTGCAAATTTTCTGTTTGTGCTCCTACAGAATGCTGCACCATTGTTGGTAAGTAGCTCAGTTGGTGGTCTTCAATCAAAGAATATTGACTCTATCTGTCAGACAAGCTAGCAGAGTCCTGATGAAATAGTGAGCAGCAGAAGGTGAACCAAGTAGGGCCACATTAGGTAGTGTCTGCTGCCAAGGTGGGTTACATGCACTCCTATTCGGCACCATGTGTCTGTTACATCTAGCCATCCACTCTTCCACTGTACTGGAGCTGGGTCTATGGACTAATATGCATCACATTGTCCCACCACTTTCTTAACCACAGCCTTGGATATTGCAAGATTGACTTGGCTCACAAAATACAGGATGCACTTTGCACCAGGATGCCCACTTTGGTGAAGGATACTCATTATCTGGGCAGAATCATCAATGGCTGTAGCACATGCTGTCTGTGTAGGCTCTGCTTCATTTCATATTGTGTTGAGCCATCACTGCAGTACCCTAGTGAGATGATTGACCCAGTTTGCACTAGACTTGACCAAGGCCACATCAATAATTAGGCTGTATTTTTTGACAAGACCCTCCAAAGTGCTGAGACAATATCTTATTAGCATCTCTGTGGTCACTTTGGTGTGCACTTTTGCCTTCCCAGATAGAGTGTTCGAGATCCACTGGTGTACACATGCTGAATTGGTTAGCAGGTGCAGCACCATTGCTTTCTATTGGAGTGCTAGATTAATGCCTCTCAACTTTGCATTCAGTTCAGCAATATGCTGTGAATCTCCATCTGGATACAGCCAACAAACATCTTCGATAATGTCCCCATCAACTTCCAAAGCTACTCTGGTAGCCAGGGAGCTTGCATCAACCCACACCTTTATTTCCTGCTCACACACACACCAATTCCCTCTCGCAGAGTCCTCCTGACATGCTCTAGTAATTGTTTCAGTGAGCATGTGTTTTAGTAGGGCATTGTAGGTCTTTTTGTCCCAACCTTTGGTCATCACATTTGCCCATTGCTTCAGAAATACTGTCGCTGGTCTGAGCCAGCTACACACTGGAAAGTGACCGGTGAGCTTCCCATATACAGAAAATGCACTTCAATGAGTAATGGTGACTGGAACTTGTGGGATCTTACTCCTTTGTCTCCACTGAAGTATACCATGCTTCCTCCAGGCATACAATCACAATACTTTGGCCCCATCCTTTAGCTTCTCAGGGTCCTGGCACAAGAGTCCTAAAATTTGGTAAAGTGCTTCTGAACTTGTTTTGTCAAAACTCTGCTTTCATTAATGTAAATATCATCAATGTATACTGACATGGCATGTTTAATTGACTCATTCTGAGCCAGTATCACATTGATTATTGACCACATTATAAGGGGTGCTACATTAAGTCCAAAACCCAGCCATGTAAGGCAGTACCTATGCCCTCTCAGAAGTACAGTCTGGAATGGCCACAAAGCCTTGTAGATATGCACCTGCAGATAATCTTTTCTTAAATCCAGAAGTGATACATAATTTCCTCGCTGCTGCCATTCTCTTAATTTGTGTGCACAAACATCAGCATTCATTGTGAACATATTTATTCAGCTCCTGATAGTCCATGATAGAGCAAACCTTTCCCTTGTTCTCTTGGATCACAGCCATCAGTGGAATTAAACCCTTAGCCGGCCCAAACTCCTTCTCAAGATATGTTATCAACTAACTGTTATCCAACCAGATTTTCAGCTCATGTCCAAGTTGGACACGGGATATTCAACCATCATGTTATATAGCACTGTTGGAGCTTGACCTCTCATTCATGTCCATGTTGTAGTCCAAACTTTTGCCACCTTGTCAAATTTAGCACTGAAGTCCTGTTCATCAATAGTTATCACCACATAGCAGTGGTTCACTGTGACAGAACTTTACTGTGCCTGATGGAGTGATTTGCACTCCTCCCATCTCTTTTATAGTGTTCATCCCAATCAGTAGATCATATCCGAGCAGCCTTTCATGAGTCACCAGGATGTCAACTTTGATGTGATACCATCATTCAGGTTCACGTTGACAAACCCAACCCTGCAGGCATTAGTCTCTCCACTGATGCTCGTCACACACACAAACCTTCTCATCCAATTACCGGCACATGTCTATACTGGCTAATAATCAGGAACAACCAGAGTCACTGCGCACTGTGCGTGACCTCCCATCAATTTCAACTGCAATTACTGGTAGTGCCAAATTTTCATCTTCTCCAGAGAAGAGACTGGCACAATCATTTATTCCCTTGTCTCGTTTTCAGGACAGGTACACACCAGGTGACCCAGAGTGAAGCACCAAAAACAATGCATCTCCCAAGGTGGCTCCTGCTCACATGCCCTGCTGCCTTCTTGGATTTGGTAGCCGTTTGATGGCTGAGGCAGTCTTGTGGTTTGCAATGCATTGTCCTTTAGGATATCCTGGGCACATGCCAGGATCTGGTCAATGGACAACATATCCATTCTCAACAATGTATGAAGGAGTTGTTTCAGCTGGGTTGGTAGTCCAGCCACAAATACACACCTGAGTGTGCAGTCACTCACCGTGCCACCATATTGTGAGCTTCTGTAGCTCTGCCAGATAAACATTGACAGATTCATCAAGTTGCATCTGGCTCACTATGAATTGCTCATATGCTGCAAACTCATCTATCATGAAGGCCATATATAAGGCAGTCTTTATTTTGTCTGCATCCACCTCCTTGTTTCTCAATTGTTGGTAGACAGCAAACGTGCTTCCCATCAGTTTCAAGGGAATGACGTGTTCTAGCTGCTTCATGTCATGCAGTCTGCAGACAAGTTACACCTTTTCCATTCATTTGACCACTGATCCAGCACCAGCAAACAGGGGAATCAGCTTCACACTGAAACCGGCGTCCATCTTAAGGGCTGAAATAGCTTGTGCTTTGTGGAGGGTATTCTGCTTATGTTGCCTGTATTGCTTTTTCTTTCTACTACACACCACAAGCATCGTCTACAGAATTACTAATGTCCCCTAGCAAGCAATGTAGCTGCTTATATAGTAAGCAGCAAGTGTTTATACATTTGCATAGGTGTTATGTCCATTTCATGAAATCATGGTTCATCTGCACATGCACCTCAAACCAAATTTCTTGTTACAGATGCAGCAATTTGAACTCGCTTTCTACTAGATAACCCATGCTCTGCATTACTACAATACCAACATGACAGTATGGATCATATCAGGCAATACTTAGTGTGTGCTTGTAATGAATGCAAAGCCACTATTTGCTGACAGAATGAGATGATATATAGCCTCTCACATGTTTAATTCTAGAGATTAGTAGCAGTTTTAACATTGCCAAGGAGTGGAGGTATTTAAAATAATAGTGGTGTCAATGTCAAAACTGTTCTTTTGTTACTTCATTTTTTTTGTGGGCATAAAGTTTGCCTAAATTTGATATATAACTGAGTTGAAGTTATCAAATCTCTATAACAATAAAGTAAAAAATCAAGTGTGCATATGCTTAACCTGAATCATGTTTTGTTGCATTAATATAGGTTTTGTTAAGATTTTTTTCTGATGACACTGATTCATCTGCAAAATGTGTCAAAATAGAAGTTTTCGAAATTGTCATATATATTTTACTTTTCCATCAGATTTTCATCCAATTTTTATATATGCCATCATTCTTGACAGCATATTCTGTTGAGTCTTTACTTTTTGTTGTATTGTGTTGTTATTTGACACATGATCAGTAGTCAACATCTGCCTGTCTCTCTTTATACTATAGACTTTGTTTCTCTTCTACTTAACATATGCAAATAGGTACAATCCTATTTACCAATCCACAACACCTGCCTGAACTGAAGAGGTTTAATGACTTTGGTTGTCCTTGAACTATTTCAATCTCTTTGCTCCTTTCCCCCTTGACATTTATGTCCTGTCTTGATCTCATTTCATCTTCTTCCATGTCTGAGTCACTCCTGCTATTATCCATATGCTCGTCTTTCTATTGCATTATCCTGATCTGAAGAACTCATCCTTTCTTCTCTGTCAAGATCTTCTTCCATCACAACGTTTTCCTCTTCACTTCTGGGTCATAATTAGTCAGAATGGGCCATTAGGCTTTTTCCTTTCTTTGCTATAATGGCTGTGTTATGTCCCCTTTGCACGGTGAAATTAGCTCTCTCAAGACTTGCTACTTTATCTTTCTTATGCCACATCTTTTCACTTGTCGAGTAAGACATTGTTAATGGAGATCTTATTTCTCTTCCTCTCTTTTTAGCCCTAGCCTGGGCTGCAAAACACTGGATCCAATTCTGGTTCATCCCACAGACTTAAACAGCATATCAGTGGTGCCATATTGTTGTATTGTGTTGTTCTATGAAATACATGATCATTAATCATCTTTTGCCTGTCTCTCTTTATTATACACTTTATTTCTCTTCTACTTAACACATGGAAATAGGTACAATTCTATTTACCATTCCACTACACTTTTATTAAGTGGTTTTCCCATGTGAGTTTTTAGATATAATTTTTTTCTAATTATTATATTTTATCCTTTTGTACATAGATATGTAAATATCCTCCAATCTCTGTTTTTATCATTTTTTTTTCTTTGTCTCTTATACATTTTACAAAGAGGATCCTTTCTTTGTATTATTCATTTGAATACTCCACCATTGTCATAATTACACATTGTGAGTGCAGGGGAGATAAATATATTTTATTTAGAAACATTAAAACTTACAGACATAAATTTGGACTATTATATAGTAAAGTGTGTATATGTTTTGTTCATTTGTGTTATTTGTCTTTTCATGCAGGTTGATGAAATTCATTTTAAGAATAACTACACTGCTCTCCTTTCCATTAAAGTAAAATTCCATGAGCAAACAGAAGCAGGTAAATCTTTGGTGCTTCCATTATTAATAGCAGAGAAAATAAACTATATAAGAGTGGGGAAAAATGAGTCATAGTATAGGAATTAAATTCTCTATATATTTTTCAACCAATAAAATTTTATCAGAAGGTTGGTCTAATAATCCATCATTACAAGGGCAAGTACCACCAAAATACTTGAAGACATAGTTGTAGATCTACCACATGTTATTTTTTGGACCATTTAGAAAATAATAATAACTCCCCTCACTACTCATGAAAATTTAAGAAAAAAATTTTTGAAAGTTAGTGTGAAATTATTTTCTAACCAATGAAAACCTTGTATTCAAAAAATTCACGACTCTATATGAAATTAGATTTTGAATCCCCTTATGAATATAAAAATAGAAGCATACTTCATCTTGAGGCTCAAAACAATTATGGAAGCCAATTTGATCTACACATGTGTACACACATATGTACCCACACATACACCTACAATAGGAGCCACTGACTAAAGCTTTGTCCATGCACTCAATAGAAGGGATTAACTAGCAACCACATACTAAGCCTTTGTCTACAAACTTACAAACACATTAGGCTGACCATCATAAAGCAAGCCTCTTTACACATTTCACACCATATTAAGAACACTTAATTACTTTATAAAACAAACTTTGCTGCAAGGAAAATGGAACATTTTATTGCTATTGTATATTTTTTGAGAAGAATATATAAATGTTATTTCAACTGATGTTCTGCTTCTTCTTTTACTTCAGAAAATAACCTTTTTTATGTTTCATTTAAAAGATGTTTTGTTGTTAAATGTTTGAAATCCTGACACTCAGATAGCAATGAAAACCTGGGATCCCAATAATAGCAAAAATAAAGAATACAAGACTAATAACCTGCACCAATTTTTTTGCCCTTCTGAAGATAGTCTGTCATCAAAATACCTTATTATTAAAAAATAAATGTAGATATGTCCCCTCCTGCTGTCTTTTGGATCTTAAATTTCTTTGACCCTGGAGAATGTGAGTGCTATTACTGCATGGACTGTTTTGTTTGGTTGTCAGATGGCTGAAAATACTACAAAATCATCTTGGTATTGTTTCTGATTGGCTTTTAAACATTTTGACACCCAACTGGCTGACAGTTTTTGCATGACCAACTGCTCATAGATTATAATGCTAACTTGTCTCAGCAATTGTGTTGGCCAATATCTGTCAAACAGCCTGTTGTGATATGTAAATGACTGCCTAATTAGCATAGCCAAGGTATAGGCTATATAAATGCCCAAGCAGTAAGGGTAGAGTAGGTTTTGGTATGCAAGATAAACTACTATTGCTGGACTGATAAAATACAAAGGAAATCATACTTTATAATATTATTCAGCCAATATTAGGTCATGGACCTGATTAATAATTTAAAGAGTTTGCACTATGGGAAAGCCTTTCAGATGATGCCGTGTATTGAGTCTCAAAATTCTGGAAGTTGGTACATCACATTTGAATATAAGAACTTGCCATCTAGTGTTTACATTATATACTCAAGGATTTATTTCCTTTGGAGTTTTTTTCTGCAGGAACAGGAACTTCATGAAAAAATTCCTCACTTTCTGTTCACATAGTTCAGTCACTGATCTGAAACAAATTAAAAAAATAAGTACAACAGTCCTGCAAATTTGCACTTGACAATATAAAGCAAAACCTTTCTACTAAAAGTAACAAATTTCCTTAGAACAGACTCTGTAGGTTTTGTGACTCTCGAATTAAAAATACCATAATGTATTGTACAACTAAATAACATGTACTGTACAACTAAATCTAAGACATTCATATAAGTGTCATATTCTGTCTGAATTCTTATCAACTTGATCCTATATCTGAACACTTGATTACTACATTTTCTGTTAGGTTTCAATGTCTGGCCAGAAATCATTTGACAAAGGCTAATAGTCAAGTAATTAAATAACTGATCCACTCTGATGATAATATGTCTCATTGTTAAAGGAATATCCATATAAAGAAAAAAAAGACAGCTTATTGTAACATGTTGAATCACTCAATATGTAAATACACTGTAAAATGTTCTCTGTTTTGCTTATCAATTGTAATATAAAAGCATAAATTGTGTTACTTGATGCTGTTCCATCATTAATCATCTCTGTTGTTGAATAATCCCTACACAAAAGCATGACTCGTATTTTATTGATCCGTATTGAAAACTGATCATTACAAATTAGCTATCAATGTGATATAAAGTTGGCTGAACAAGCAAACATCACAAAGATCTATTCTTTGGATTATTAGCTCAGATAGTATAGATTTTTTTTTCTTCTTTTTTCAGAATAAGTTATCTCAATTTACAGCAACCTAATACAGTTAAGAAACAGTATTAAATATGAATGTTGTGAGATATTTTGGGCCAAACTTTAAAACAAAAGTAATTCATAGTGTTTTAAAGGTATTTGTTTGTTTAACAGCATACCAACTCCTTATGGATCATTTAATGTCAAACTTGGGTGCATTAGTAATTTCTTTTACAAAAAAGTATTGCTAGTAATATTTTTTCCTTACAAAAATGTATTGCTGGTAATATTTTTTTTCCTTACAAAAATGTATTGCTGGTAATATTTTTTTCCCTTACTGTATTGCTGGTAATGCTTTTTTACTATGAAAATGTATTGCTGGTACATTCACTATAAAAATCTATTTCTTTATTCTTATAGTGCTTAACCCTAGTATAGAGGTTAACTATTTTCCAATAGCTGGGACCCTAACAGGTGCTACCACCCTGGGTCAGAGTAGACCTGGGAACAACAGTAATTAAGAGGTAGTTCCAAGCTCCTCAAAACCTCCCAATCAGTCCTTGCTGTTGGATGTAATTTATCATCATACTCAGAAGGCAGTGCAGTTTAAGTGTATCAAGTTGTTAAAAAATAGTTACAATTTCATTTCTAAATAAAAACATTAAAAAATTTTTTGTTTGTTGAAATTTTAAAAAAATGTTAAAATTATGTTTGAAATTATTATTTACCTAAAATTGATTTTTTAAAAAGCAGATAAGTCATTTTATCTGAAAGATTTTCACCTTGCTAGTTTTATAAATGTTCTGTATATAAGCAGAGTATAAGTAGGTTATTTATTCTTAAGACACAGACTGTCTTTGTAAGTTGCCTTAGAGCAGACATTCATACTTATCTTCTTATCAGATGTTCCATTTATAAAATTTGCTTACATACAATATTATACAAAAATGTTATTGCATATGACTGTAAGTATATAAATACCAATATATAAAGATAATATACACACACATACACACACAAGTATATATATATATATATATATATATATATATATATATATATATATATCAGCTGGTTTGAAGATTGAGGTTGTTGCATATTTCTTAGCAGTTTCAGTATTCAATATTCAAGCGCAGATCAAATCCAGAATTTTGGGTGATGATTTTTCAGGAAGATTACTGGTATAACATTTAATGATGTACTGAACAATTCTGTAGCAATTACCAACCAAGTTTTTTTTTTCTCTCTCTCTCTCTCACTCTAGAATATTTGCTAGTTATTTATTTTATTTGTTCAACAGCATATCAACTCCTTAGGGGTCATTTAATGCTGAAATTTAATTTTCTTGGCAGCATTAGTCATTTTTACAAAAATGCATTGCTGGTAATTTTTTACTATGAAAATGTATTCCTGGTATTTACTATAAAAAATTTTATGCTTTCATATTGTTTTGATCCCAGTTTTGGGGTTAAATAGTTGCTCACAGCTGGAACCCTAACAGGTGCTACCACCTTAGTTCAGGGTGGATCCGGGAATAGCAGCAATTAAAAGGTGGTTCCAAGCTCCTCAAAACATTCCAGTCAGAGGCCTTGCTACTGGATGTAATTTATCATCATATCCAGGATGAACTAACTGAGAACACCAAGAATATTTGCTGCTATAAATATATATATATATATATATATATATATATATATATATATATATATGTGTGTGTGTGTTTCATTGAATATGACAGACAAGGAAAATTTAATGAATTTTTAATTTAGTTTTTCCAACATTCTTACAAATTCAATGTAACATGTTTAAAAGAAAAATGGTTGCTGCCCAAATATGCACTATTAAAATATATATATATGTGTGTGTGTGCACATGCACGTAAAATTTCAACTATAACTAAAAATATACCTGTAAAAGGGCAATATGAATAATGGCAAACAGAAAACTTCTCTCAGACAACATGTTTCATCCTCTAATGGACTTTATCAAGGCAAGCGTAAGGATTTTATTTTGCAACAATTATTTATAAACAAAAGTAAAAATGTTGTTAGTTTTTAAATTTAAAAAATGTTCATAAATATTCATAAGGCTAACTGAAAAGTCTAAATAAATTATGGAAGATCCTAAGGGATGTAATCCAATGTCTACTAAACAAAAGTGTGTAAATTAATTTTTTTTTTTACAATTTAATTAATATTTATATTATTTTAGTTTGGTATTAATTTATGCATTATATTACATTAATATGACATTATATCATATTCACCAATGTATATTTTTCATACACAAATATTTCTGATCATTTATTTAATAGTTGGTACTTGGGAATAAAAAAATTACAAGCTTCTCTTGTGTAATCTACAAGATTTGTTCTTCCTGTGTAACTTTTCGTTTTGTTTCACCTTTATTTGGACACAAATTTTCATCCTCTTTAACCTTCCATACATATTTAGATAGGGCAGTGCTATTGTGATACTCAGCTTTAAGTATGTCATATTGCTATTGTATCAATGTTTAAATTTGCAATCCATGGAACAAGTATATGTCATAGTGGGAAAATTCAGCCTCATCTTTATATATGATGCTAGTAGTTAAACATTATGTATTAAGGGGCAACTTTCCCATTTTCTACAGTTACAGTTAAGTATGTTATTAACTGTTATACTGTTTATTAATTTTTCATTAGGCCCTTTGATAATGCATTTCAGGTTCA